AACCCTACCTGCCAATTCATGCGCTAAGTCTTGAAAAATGTGTTTTAAAACTCCACGAATGACACCCTCTCAGAAGTGGGCGGGGCTCTTGGAGTTTTGAAGGGCGTTCTCAGGACTCAGCTCATGAATTGAGAGTGGAGTCGGGGTTACGGTGTACTTGGGGGATCTAAATACTACCTAACTTCATCAAAATCTGGGAAGGGTCCATTTTGCCTGTCCATTGCCTTTAAAGAGTGACATAAAATGATCTTCGAGCTTGTAGACATGTTGTACAAAATGACAGTAGTTAATACATATGCTACAAAATTATTCTGAGCGCTATAGGTTTCTCAAAAACTTTTCTTTAGTGCACCGAAACAAGCTGCTAACAACAACACATGCGAGGATTGCAATCGTCAGTTGTGTTCGGCTAGTAATCTCAAACGTCATCGAGCTACGTGCAAGATTGTGATGCAAAAGTACATTGTACATTGTTTAAACCTCAAATATATTCGAGCATTTTAGGCAGTACTCAAGAAATGGAGGCGTTGTTTCACCTGTGTCGAAGCCAGTCCAGCAGCAGGTGAATTTTTGAGTTTTTTTTCCGAAATTTTTGCTTTTTTCTGATAAGAGTCCATTTTGCAGAAGTGGCAACCAGTTGAAATAGCCGCTCGAGAACGAATGATCATCGATCGTTCTTATGCAGCTGCTTTAGCGGCAAGTCAAGAAGCTCGACAGCATATGCCACAACAACAGTCTCAAATGATCGCTCGAACGGGTGGAGATAACACGGGATCTTTTGTAATTGTTCAAGACCAGGGTGTCGTAGGAGAAAGGCCATGGGTATGCTAACAAGCAGTTCTGAGTATTTCTAGGGAAATATAGCTTCAGTTACTTAAGATTACCGTTGGAGAACATCTTCGTGCTCAGCATATGCAGCAGAAAGTGCTCGAAGCTCAAAATCTGCAAAATCAAAACCAGCCTCTGGGATCGGGATCGACAACGCAGTCGCTGGATAGCATAAGTCCGCCAGACTCTGCCAAAGTTCTTCTGAACAACAATAACAATGAAACGGTGTGTATGACCTTTCCTTTTCATATAATACTATTGATTACTTCACCAGCAATTTTTAGCTGCCAGAAGAACAAAAAAGTGAAGAGTTCGAGCGTATAGATAGTGATAACGATAACAGTACACATGAGTCCGCAAATCAGTATCCTTCTGAACG